TAAACTTCAGTTTCTTGTAATTAAATCAGCTAAATTTGCAATTTTCCAATTTTAAAACCCAATTCTTTCTACATAAAAAAAGCAAAAATCTGTGTCCTAAATAACCTAATAAAGTTTCCAAAGAAATAGTATATCTACACAATTGAAATAGGACTATCCTAACTCCTAAGTACTCAAAATTTCATCTGGCTTCTTGGTCTAAGACGTGAAAAAACAGACTACGTGCAATCCCCTTAAGCTTAAATAAAAGTGTTACTATTTGAATTTTAAAACTACTCTCACAAAAAAACTTTGATGACAATTTAGAAGCAAAACAGAAATTTTAATGAATTTTGATCATGTAAAATTATTTTCAAAGTATAATAATTTAGCATATACGTTTTTTAGTGGTAACTCTCATTTTGGTAGTAAACAATTATTCAATGAATTACAGTATGACTATAGAACAAGTTACAGTTTAAAAAGTATGTGATCATCAAAACTAATTTGTCCAGTTTTATTGAGCTCTGGTTTTATTTTCGGTTGAAAAGTTTTAATAGAAAAGTATTTTCTCAATATCATAACCGCTATATATTTTTATTTTTATTTTTTTTGATATAATATAATCTTCTTTGTGACTCGACGTGACAATAAACTTTTATAATGACGTTAAAATTGTTAATTGATGCACACTCGATGAATAGTGCTAATAAAGTAATTCACGAATATAGTAAATAATATAATGAAAAAAGTAGAAACACTCTTTCATACAGTGTAAAATATAAAAAAGTTTGTAAGATGAAATCGTAAAAGATACGTTTTAATTGAGCCACTTGCTTCGACGTAACACGTTTTAACTGAATAGAGCAATAAAAATTTTGTTTTTAATTTTTTTAATACTTAACATAAAAGCAGTTAAAAACGGGTCGAAATCGATTTTTTTTTTAAAATAACTTTAAAAACCTCTATTTTTGGGGCAAAAAGTAGTGATAAAAATTTCAAAAAATAATTGTCTTATATTAGACCAAAAGAAGTTTAAAAATAAAATATCAAAAAAATTTGAGGAGGTCAGGCCGATGACCTCGTGGATTGACTCAGAATGCCCCATATATAAAGTAGTATATTAGTATACTCTGCCCGGCAAGACAACGCGTTGTTTAAAATATTTAGCTTTTTTTAAAAGATAAACAGCGCCCGTCTTCTTTTATATTATTAGGACTTATTTTTTAGAAAAAATTGAATGGCAGAGAATAAATAATAATATCTCTACAAAATAATTTGATTAAAAAAATGTATTTTTTCCTCTTACTTCCATGTATAAAACGAGAATCTGTTATTAAGTAAAATTTAATTATTACTTGTTAAAAAAATTACTACCATCCATTAGGACAAAAGACAGACATAACAAATAATACATTACAATATTGTTAATGTATTATTATTGTGTATGCAGTATGTGTTCAGTATTATTTGCGAACATGTTTGGCCAAAAAAGCACATTTTGTGTACTATTGTTACAAATAAAAAACGTAAAAAAAAAACCACAAAATGTTTGTTTTTGGTCATAGAACCTAGTTTAATACAGCCTAACTATACCGCTTTTAGAGCAACTTATTTATTTAAGTGTCCCATCAAAATGAATAATATATTATGAGTAATGTTAAGTTTTTCACACTAGTGTTGTAAAATGTATAGGCCACTCTGTAACAGTTAGATTAAAAATATACAATTCAATCAGTAATATAAAGGACTAGGAATGATTATTAAAGACTAGTCAATGGCCGAAATAAATCAATTTTTGATATTGCCGTGTTTTTTAGACATATTGTTTAATAATGCAAGCATATTTTTAATAGTCATTATGCAATACGGTTTCGTAAAGATTTTTACCAAATGTTGAGGACAGCATTTTATTTATTTTAGTTTGATATCGATACACCAAACACTTCTTCTTAGCTTATACATTATCACAACTTTTTAAGATTGAAAATTTTACAAATTTTGATTACAGAGTGCAATAATTCTGTGAAAAAATAATTAGATCAGTTCTAAATACTATATCGTTGTACACAGTCTTGAACCCAGAAAATATCATTAACCGCCGAATTTGAAATTAATTAGTTAATTTTCATATTATACATTTTTCAGACAGCCGTTGACTGTAGTTATACTGTCAAATGGCAAGCTATAACTTTATTATGATCATAGTAAGATTTCCTTCATTATTTTAGATTTTCTATAATAAACATCGTAGTGTTAAGTATGGAACTTAAACAAAGGGCTCCAAAAAATGTTTACAACAAATAATGGAAACATCCTTATTAGCTACAACCAGTTTCTTCAAGGATCTCGAATAAACAAAAATTACGAATGAAATCTAATCTAAAATTTTATTTCAAATGACGAAAAATTATTTTCTTAAATTTCAATACACAGTAGTTTTCCACAATTAATTTACATAACCCTGTTTGAAAAGGATTTAGTCTGATGTGCTGACTTTTTATCGGTTAAATTATCAAATATTCTATTCTGTGTTGTAGCCACTGACCACAGTACAATACTCATCATAATAAAATAACTTGAAATACAGAGCTAAAATATCATACCCTCTAGTTATATTATAATAACAATTATGATTCATATTTTGTATATTACTAGATCTTGTATTATAATATTCTCGTTAATACATTTTATCGTCATTGTGTTTATTACAGCCGTTGCCTGTAGTTTTACATAGTGTTTTTGGATCTCAATTTTTCACCATTTTTTTTTGTTTTTACCCCCTTCCCACTTAGTTTTTTCGATAGCAACTTTTGGAACTTAAGTGGTAGCGTATATATTTTATTAACTTTTGAAATTGAAAATAATGTATTAAAATTTTTGACTGGTCGATTACCAGTTTCGGATAACTATTTATGAAGCTATTAAAGTCTCAAGTTCAGGGCAGGAAGAAAGGTGGAGTGTAGTGTTATTTTTAACTGCGTGCATTTCCCATCCGCACTTCCTATCCTAACTTTTAATAGTTACCCAAAACTGGTCATCGACCAGTCAACATTTTTAGTACATTATTCTCAATTAAAAAGTTAAAGAATTTTATGCATTACCATTTAATTTTCCAAGGTGCTATCAAAAAAACTAGTTGGAATGGTGTTAAAAACAAAAAAAAAATTATTATTGAAGAATATAAAAAAATATTGTTGAATCTTAATGTACATAATAGTTATTTGCTATAATTATTGGAATATCAAGGTTCTACGGCCATGCAAAAAAATAGTTCAAACATTTAAACAACCAACAACAAAACAAAGCCTCAAAAAAACACTTGTTTTTTATGAACAACAAACAAATTTCGTACGGTACTGCTAACATCGATAAACCAAACAATTATCCTAAATCTGTTACTCAAAAAGGGATAGACTTTTTCAAGTATAGTTTTAGGAATTTATGTCTGAAAATTAGGCCGAAGCTAGTTCTAGATAGGAACTATAACATAAAATACAATTCTCTCAGAAATCGGTATTCAAACTTTTTTTTTAATAAGTAAAAACCAAAAAAAAATATATATAATTACAAATAATATTGATATTAGTTTTTTTACTACTCGATGTAGTTAACTGAAAGTGGTTTTATCAATTTCCATTGATTTAATCCATACAGACTTGTGACCTCCTCCTGTCTAATTTGGCCCAACCCACTGTATATTACCCAAGCTAGTATATTAAAACATCAAATTTTGGCTAATATTGTAGTATTTAATATTTGGCTTAAAACAAATCATAGAGAATTTGGCCATTGCACTAGATCTATCTTCACATTAGATTCTTGAACTGTGCCAAAAAAAAATGTAATAGGTAAAAAAGGTTAATGGTATTTTCTGGGTTCAAGACTGTGTACATCGGTATTTAGAACTGATCAGAACTGATTAGAACTGATTTTTTCACAAAATTATTGCACTCTGGAATCAAAATTTGTAAAATTGTTAATCTTAAAAAGTTGTGGTAATGTAAAGGCTAAGAAGAAGTGTTTGGTGTATCAATATCAAACTAAAATAAATAGAATGCCGGGCTTAATATTTTTAAAAAATGTATATGAAACCCTATTGCATAATGACTATTAAAAATAGACTTGCATTATTAAACAATATGTTAAAAACAAGGCAATATCAAAAACTGATTTATTTTGGCCTTTGACTAGTCTTTAATAATCATTCCTAGTAGAGCTGAGACCTCGAATCGAATAATACTATTCGTATTAAAATAATTCGAATATTCGAATAGTTATCGAATAATTCAAATATTTTGTCAAATTTATGTTTTTTTGTAATTATATATCTATATAAACTATTGAAATCTTATTTTTTTGTAATAAGTAATAATATTTATTTTGTCAAAAGAATAATTCGTTATAATTATATTTATTTTGTCAAAAGAATAATTCGTTATAATTATATTTATTTTGTTAAAAAATTATTAAAAATAGATCAAGGACACCTTAGTTGTCTCTTAATTATTTTTTTTTAAATCTAATTAATCCTGTAAAAAAAAATATTCGAATAACCCATCGAATATTCGAATATTCGTGCGAATAAAGTATTCGAATAGTCCCACCACTAATTCCTAGTCCTTTAAAATACTGATTGAATTGTATATTTTTAATCTAACTGTTACAGAGTGACCTATACATTTTACACCACTAGTGTAAAAAACTTAACATTACTCATAATATATTATTCATTTTGATGGAACACATAAATAAATAAGTTGCTAAAATAAAGGTGTAGTTTGGCTATATTAAACTAGGGTCTATGACCAAAAACAAACATTTTATGGTTTTTTTTTCACCTTTTTTATTTGTAACAATAGTACACAAAATGTGCTTTTTTGGCCAAACATATTCGCAAATAATACTGAACACATACTGCATACACAATAATAATACATTAATAATGAACAATGTACACACTCTTCATCTACCAAATAAGACAAGCATTTTTAAATTGTATGCAGCGTATAACTTTATATAACGTAAGCAATTGTACTGATGCTCTAGTATAGTATTCAACTTCTTTGCTGTTTAATAAAAATATCTACTTGTAAAAATGAATTTGAAAAGCATAATTTGTATATTTGTAGCCACGATATTATTCGTAATGATGTCGGGTGTATCAGCCGGCGACGAGCCAGAAGGTATAAAAAACATTTTTAGTATATCATTTTTTATAATTTTTTTTTTATTGTATCTTCGGCCAGCAAAATTATATCAAATATTTCGAATACTGTTGTCGTTTTTACCCGTTTCGACTTTTCTATGAATTTTGAATACCTTCTGAATATTTCATTTTTATCATTTTTTTTTTTCGTGTGCTTTACAAATATACTAGCAGTTTTATATATGTTTCCAATAAAGCTTAAAATGTGTATAAAATGCTACAAATGCCTTAAATTTTCGAAAAAAAGAATACATTTGCCAAGTACATAAATATATTGTATAATTTTGTATATCCAGTTATAATATTATTTTAAGAATATCACACGTGGCTATAATAAAATTAAACGATTTTAGATTAAATTAAAATATATAATTCTTACGCAAGGATAAAAAAAAATATTTAAGTAATTTTATTTTTTCAATTTTTCAGCTGGACCTTGGTGTGGAGTTTGTAAGTTAATGGCTAATATTTGTTAATGTGCTTTACAAATTTACTAGCAGTTTTTAAATTATTTTCAATAAAGCTTAAAGTATAAATAAAATGCTACAAATGCCTTAAATTGTGGAAAATAAAAATACGTTTGCCATGTTCATGAACGTATTGTATAATTTTGCATATCCAGTTATAATATTATTTTAAGAATATTACATGTGGCTATAAGAAAATTAAATGGTTTTGGATCAAAATAAATATAAATAATTTAGACGTGACGCCCTAGGATAAAATAAAATATTAAACTAATTTTTTTTGATTTTTCAGGGCACACAGTAAGACAAGGAGCTGTAAGACCACAACCTTACGGGGTACCAGCAACAGAACCACCACCACCACCACCACCACCACCACCACCACCACCGCCACCACCACAACAACCACAACAATAAATGTGTAATTCAGTATGTAATTTTATCATTCATTTTTCAAATGACTGAATTAATAATTAAAAAATTAAAATTATTTTGAAATTAAAACATTGGATACTAGTAAATCCTAAAATTGTATTTATAATGGAAACGCCTTGTACTTAATAGTTTATAAAATTTGAATTAAAATTCATGTGTAAGCCAATTTTTAATAAACGATTTTTGTACACAATAATTTAATATATATATATTTTTTTTTAGCTAAAAACTAACTCCCGCTAACGACAGTTAAATGTTCAAACAAAACTACAGTATTCAAGATCCGTGTCACATTCTCAAAATGTATATGCTTACTAATATGTGTATATTGTAAAATGTTTATCTTTGTTTATCACAATTGTGTCTTGACCTTCAGATTTTTCTAATAACAATGTATTCCAAGTAACATATATTTTGTTACCTATCATATAAATTATATTATGTCTATTATATTTATCTCTCTACCAATAAAAAGAATATTCACCGAATAAGTAAATTTGTTTTTTATTGTCTAATCTTTTCCAACAATTTGTTTTTACTTCTGTTTCCTCCTCTTATTTTTAATTCTTTATAATAAAATGTCTATGGAAATGCGGTAAATAGTGTCAATTGTGGAATTTTATAAGTTATAACAAATATAAATATAGGTACAATATATAATTCATTTTGAATATTTACTATTTATACACTTTATGCTCTTGATTTAATATTGATGCTTTGTCTGGTTAGGTTAGGTTAACCACAAATGTAATGGACAGTACGGCAAATTTATTTTAGCTAAAACACGATTTCAGAAATAAAATTAATATTAAATATAATATTTAAATAGTTATATTTTCTTAAGCTGTAAACAGAAGTTGAAAACGGCAAAAACCATAGTGGTGTCAGTCACAATAACCTTAATTAGAGAAAAACAAGTTTTAATAAGAACTGTTTCACTGTGGTTATATAATAAACTTGTAGTGTGCTTCCATAAAGTGTGCTTTTAACCATTGTTTGGCTTAGAAACTAGATACGTTTTAAAAGTAAAATACTCAATTGTTTGATGTTCGTTATTATTATTTTTTTACGATACATCGGCCAAAGCTGTTCAAAAAATAGTTTACGATTTTCAAAGAACTTGTTATTGTAATACGTCACAGCAGATGTTCTTCTAGTATTTATTTTCAGACTTAAGTGCTACTACTGTAGACATAAAAAAATACATTTTACTCCTTCTAGGAATTGTGAATTAATAAATAATTTACCTGTAGTAAAAACGACCACAGTAATCAAAACAGTAGAAATAAATATATGTAAAAGCTCTTTAATTAGCTCTTTTTTTGTTTTTTCAAACGTTTCTATGAAACGCTAAATTACATATATATATTATACATGTACAGAGCCATCAGAATTTCGCGCTATACCTGATTTTTGATGATATGCTCAAATTTTTGAAAAATGTTAGCTATATAAAACATTTTTGGTTTTTAACATACAATAATAGATTCAAGTTATTGTATTTTTTTCAGCCAGAAGCCAGATTTAGGAAGTTAACTTTTGAAATTTAAATTGTAATGTATACATTTTGTTAGTTATTTATATTGAGAATAATTTACTAAAAAGTTGTTTAGTAAATAACCAGTTTTTAGTCAGTACTGTTAAAGTTATTAGAGTTTAAAATTTAGGATGGGAGGTGGAGTATAGTTGAGTAATTGACCAGACAATATTTCCATACAATTATTATCGATTTTAAATAACTAATTAAATGTTTATGTTATCATTTAAGTTTCACTAATTTGTGTTAAATCTATAACATTATTTTCTTAGCGGTTATCAACGTACATTTTCTTTACAACTGGTTCGATTTTGATTTGATTTGTTCACTTATACAGCAAAAAAATGTAAATGTTTTCAAAATGTTGACGAACACGTTTTTGTATGTTTAAAAACGGCGTGGAGCATAGGCAATTTCGCTACGTAAAAGAATAGTGTGCTTCGTTGAGGCGTCTGCCCACATATTTCACTTTTTAATACTTACAGAAGTTATTAAATAGCTTTTTCGACTGGGCTTTTGGTTAAATCAAATTTAAATTAAACAAACTACCTTAGTATTCATATCTAATAATTTTTTGTAGATGAAGCACAATTATAATTTATTATACAAACAGTTCACGATGTTATTTTTTATTATGTTTTCTTATTGTTTCCCGTTTGCTTGTTTCTATCTCAAACTTCTTTAACTCTCAGAAACATTCAATATGTGTGTTTTTTTTTTAATTTTAAGTTTTAGAAATAATAATAAGACTAGTTGAGCAGACAGAAAATTACATTTTTTTAAGTAGTAATATATTCAAACAATTGGCATACGTATCGTTTTCTTTATTATTTGGTAAAAAATACACCAAATGTATGTAATGACAATTAATTAAACCGTGTATTGTAAATTACTGTAAAAAAAATGTAGTACAATACTCAAAAGTACCGTCTACATAAATAGTTTGAAGTGTTTAAGTGTTTTACCTTTGTCGATTGATAGCTGCGGACGCACTCGCGCTATGAAAAAGGTAAAAACTTTATATGGGACCCACTCGGGAAACCCCCGGTTTCCCTTTATTTTCTTCTTTATTTAATACTCGTTTTCACAATGCCATTAAATTATTTTTAAAATGAAAAATTAAGCGTTGTTTGCCACGCTAATGTTGTCATCCGCCTAAGTTAACCGGATGAAAATAGTAAATACACGGCCATTTTTGAAAATGTTAATTTTGTGCGATTAAAAACTTAACATCCCCGTTTTATTCGTTTAATCGCTGTAATGTATAACGAGTAGACGGAGTTTATTGCCAGTCTTATTTTCTTAACTGATGAATAACCATTAAGCGCAGTAACGAGACGTTATTTTATTATTTTCTTTTGTTCGGTCGGGCTTAGTGTAGACAACACAAAGTACTCAGCAGTGTGATATCTAACGGACAGGCTAAGGCGTCGCTGACGTTTCGATATCATAAAACCGGTGCAGTCCAAAATTACTTTTACTCTCAATGTTAATTTTTGTTTTACACATTAAACCCGACTTGACAGGAGCCTGTCTTATAAAAAAAAAAAAAGTAATTTTAAAATTCTATTCAAGCAGTGATTTGCCCTATTTGAAATGGTTGTAAAATAAAATAAGCTGAGAACATATCGCATGTACGTGTGTTTGTAATTTTATTCAAAATAAACATAATTAGAATTTTGGTTGACGAACAAATTTCAAAATTTCAGTAAAACTTATATAGAACTCGAATCTCTTTACAGAATTGAAATTGGGCCGTCCTATGTAGTCGATACTTATCTGGCTTTTTGGTCTAAAATAAACCAAAATGGGTTTTACTCGTAGAAAAAATTATTTAAATTAATAACAATACCTTGGAGCTTGAACAAATTAACCGGTAAATAAGTTTACATAGTCAAAATATGTTAAAATCTTGCTTTTCTTAAATATTGCCTATATAAAACTCCTTAATAACGGACCGCATGCAATCCCCTAAAACAATAATAATTATTTTATAGATTACTGTGTAATAAAACCTTATCAGTTACAACTAATGTCATTTTAATTTCTCAAACAGATCCATAAGGGAATAAAATATTTAAACATTTTAAAAATATTTGGGTTTTGGCGTCAAAGGTTTTTTTTTAAATAGTTATTATTTTATTTCTTAACTAATATTTGTACATCGAAAGTTATTCGATGGGCTAATGTAAAGTTTGTGGTTTGTTTAATAAAACCTTTTAAATATTATTCCATAAATAATATCGATTAATTATGTTTTTGACCTTCTATTTGAATAATAATAAATAATATTTAGAAATATTGATATGTCAGAAAAAAAGTACAATCCACCCATACAATTATTAATGATAAATCTCGAGAATTAAAAATGTTGTGTAGTAATTTAGTACAAGTAGATTTGAATTAATCTTAATTTATTTAAAGCAACATTAATCTCCTTAAAAGTTCTATGGTATTCTTGGGGAATATTGGTATGGTGTATAGGTTTATCTTGGTGACACAGTTTTTTCTATGATAATCATTTCTGGTATAATGAACAGTATTTTTTTGGCTTTCAGTGGTCGACAATTTCAAGTTGAAAAATATGTAGATTTTTTGGGCGTTTTTTTAGATTTTGAAGGGAAGGGGTGAAGTTTTCCATTCTTTGGTTTAATAAAGTATATTTTCGGTACGATTTCTTAACTATAGAGTTTCTACATAAAGAAATCGGTTCAGTGGTTCAGAATATTTTGTGGGTCCAGACACATACAATAGTAAAAAATAATGAAAACCTATAATTTTAAGCATTGAAGTTAAAATCGCTCTAAAACTTTTAAAATAAGGAAAACGGCACTGTAAAAAAAATCTGTGACATTCTATACAATGAAGGTTATTAAGATGTTAATTCATAATCATTTAAAAAAAAGTAATTTCTTTTTGTTACTGGACCACTCTCCACAGAGCCTTATATCCGTTTCTGGGGTATAATATTTTTCTATTTATCCAGATTAGCTTGTTCGCCGCGTAGTGCAGTGGCACCAGAGTTGGGTGCAGAATTCAAGTGCTTGCACAGGACAAATTATTGCAATAAAAAAATAATTTTCCAAACTCTTAATGGCAGTGACATAAATCAGATTTCGTTTGGCTTTTCAAATTTTACCCAAACACGAACACCTGCATAAGAAATCCTATTAAAGGTTAGTTAATTTTTGGATATCTGCTCGGCAACCCGACAAGCCCGAGTCGTTCCGAGGTCGAGTACATTGACAGTTTGGAAATTAACACAGCTGTGATATAGGTACCTCGCAGAGTGTACTTAAGCGTACCACCACCTATGAATCTAATCGTCCGAGTAATCTAGACGTGAGTGTACTACAATTCGTGTGTGTGTGTGTACACGAGAGAGAGAGAGAGGAGGCAATGTTTGACACGATGATAGATGCAATCGGCCATACGAGTGTTGGTCCTGCACCGACTCCGATGCCTTTTACTTTCTCAGTGGCTTGGCAAAAGAAAGTGCACACCGTGTAAAAACCATCGGAAGCGCCAAAGAAAAGTTCAATCTGTTCGTGTTAAGTGTGTTTACTACAAGGCCGACTCAATTCGACGAATCGCAGCCGTTAGTCCATATAAGCTAATGTGTCAGCTTTAAAAAACAGCTACAGTAATGAATTACATATTGTGATAATGTGTTGTGTGTAGTTTAAGCACATCAGCTCCCACCGATGGAAACGAGGGAGAAATTATTGTCATTTCGCAAATGACTGTGCACATAATAGGTGAGATCAAAGTGAAATGACAGCTCAAATCAAAAACAATACATTTACACCACAAACACCTAATAACGAAGCCTATTATAGTGTACAAAACGAAAGGTTCGAATTTTGTTAACAAATTAACGGTATATAAATAGATTTAGTGCAAGGTAAAACCGAGTTTAGGATTTGAAAACTAGACTGGGAG